TCCCAAATATGGCTAATAATAATAACTTGGTTACCCATAATGTGATGAGATTTTCTTTATGTAACATATTTAAGAAAATCTCATGCTTGAGTGAACCAGCGCCAGATGTGGTTTGTCTCTTTATTTATGGGAAACTTTCCTTTATGTTAATTCACCAACTTTAGTTTTTGCATATTATTATGCTCATTATCAGTATAAACGTTGTTACATTGTTACATTATATCTTAACCATTTTTGTATTACTTAAATATCCTGTCCTAGAATACGTTTTAACAAAATCAGAGGCTATACAAAGTCAACTGTAATGCAGTCGATGTATGTGACATTTATAACAGTTTTATATAATTTGAAATATTTTTGTAACAGCAAGAGTTACATCCCTTTATATTTTGCTTTCGTAAAAAACTGACCCCGCCTATAAATTTTCGTCTATTTCCGTGATAATGCCATATATGGAAGTTGCATTTTTTTAATGTTAATCGCGTTAGAATGTTAAAGGAACGTGTGGTGTGAGTGTTAATTGGTGCAGTTACATTCTCAACGTCATGATGCACAGCATTAAACGTGTTGTGTACGTTCTCTCGTTTACATTTCAACATGCCGCAAATTTGAAGTTTATATTTCTAAATAAAGTTTGCAATTTATTTAAGTTGCATGTAAACAGCTTCCAATTTATCAAATCGAGATAACCAAAACGCTTAATACCAGTGCAGTATGTAACTCTTGGATCGACAATTAGATTTTTACTTATCTGTTTAGTAGAACCGAAGTATGCATTGTCAAGTTTCAAAGGCTGAATTTTTGGCAACAAATAGCCTCCATAAATCTATGACGATAAACAATTGAGAAAAATTTGAGTTTTTGAATTTTATCCTGATCTTGATCCTAATCAAACACGGGGCCGGGTATGTGCGTACTCATTAGCATAAGCTTACGATATTCGGAGTTTTGTCACTTTACACAAAAAAAGAAAATAACCGGTGTTTATCTGCCAGTTGAAAACTGCTTATAGATTTATTAGGCTGTTCTATATGTTCTCCCTCAGATTTAATTGATAAACAGATGCAAAATTATGTTAGCATTTTATTCCTAATATGTTTCAGTTCATGTCATATGTAAATAAAATCTCCCAGACACAAATGTGGCGAGTTTTTAATTTTATCCTAATCTCTTCAAATATATATAATGAATTGTTGAATGAATAATGATCTAAATATTACTCGCAGCTTTTTTAAACAAAGTACAACCTTTACTTGACCTGTAAAAAGGGACGCAGCTTCCCATGCAGAATGTGTGCATTCTGTTAATCAAATTTAACATATTCTGTAAGAATTTCATAGATTTTAATAAGTTACTGCGATTAAATTTTTTTAATCACAGATGAGCATAGTACGGAGCCCTTAAGGAAACATTTTCACACTTTTTCCCCTTTTTACGAAATATTAATTCGTAATTACGAAATTATAATTCGTTTTTGCGAAATTTTATTTCATTTTTACGAAATATAAATTGTTTTTTACAAAATTTTATTTCGTTTTTATGAAATATTCTTTCGTATGTTTTTTAAACGAAATAATAAATCGTTTTTACGAAATAATAATTCGTTTTTACGATACATAAATTTTGTGATTTTAAAAAAAATACTTGTTATTAAGAAATATTAATTCGTTATAACAAAATATTAATTCTTTTCTTACGAAATAATAATTCGTTTATACTTTCTTTTAGCATACATATTAATAGAATTTTAAGGTGCTGACCTCCAGATTTTCACTAAAAATTAATTTCAGTAAAATTCAAGTAAGGTCAATGTGTACGGAGCCCCTAAAGTGACATTTTCCACACTTGTTTCACCGAGACTTAATTCGTTTTTACGAAATATTAATTCGTTTTTACGAAATATTATTTTGTAATTACGAAAAAATGAATTCGTAAAAACGAAATATTAATTCGTTATTACGAAATATTAAAATAAATTCGTTTTTACGTAATATTAATTCGTAACTACGAAATATTTATTCGTAATTACGACATATTAATTCGTCCTTACGAAATATTAATTCGTTTTCACGAAATATTATTTCGTTATTACGAAATAAATTCGTAAAAACGAAATATTTCCCTTGATTAAACGGAATCACAATATGCACAATAGCCTCTTTTTTGTCAGCTCATTAACTTGATACCTTTGACATTTACTTTCTTTATAATTAGTGTTTGTTTTGATCGCGTGGTGCCAATACATAAATTTAAAGGAAACATATTTTAAATTAAAATCTGGAAGCACCTTTAAGTTTTACTAATGTGTATGATAAAAGAAAGTAATACTAAAGTCGTTAGTTGTTTAAAGGAACATGTCTAAAACGATTAGTTGTCAGTTATGACATTTTGTTTTTGCCAGTTTTTTAGAAAATGTTATTGGAAAAGGGGAAAAAGATGATGTTTTGGATTGAAAACGACTTCTCTTTCAAAAAACCCTGTTCACTCATCAAATATAATAACTTGAGAGCCATTAGGCTTATAATCATTATATTTGGTGGCAATGTTGACCTAGGCTTGTAAATGACCCCTTTTGATTGTGATGTTTGAAGGTTCTATGTCAAGCTCTAAATGACCTTCAACACAAAATCTATTTCAGGCTAATTGCTTAAGTATGTGATTTTGCTTGCTGTCCTCATTACTGAATGAACGTATCAGGTTACTTGAAAACGAAATATTATTTCGTAAAAATGAATTATTATTTCGTAAAAACGAATTAATATTTCGTAAAAAAAATAAATAATATTTCGTAAAAACGAAATAATATTTTGTAATAAAACGTAATAATATTTCATAAAAACGAATTATTATTTCGTAATTACGAAATTAATATTTCGAACAAACGAATTAAGTCCCGGGGAAAAAGAGTGGAAAATGTCGTACAATGTGCGATCATAAAAATCATATTTTGTTAAAACTCGATAAAAATGACAATACGAAAATTTGTCTGAATCTGGATTTGAACCGCTGCACCCAAATATAAACACAATTTTCCTACTTTTTATAACCGATCTGTAAGGTAACTTTTTATCTTGAAAATTTCTTGATTTCACCACATGCGATATGAATTTCCATATTTAAACCAGCTGGAAAAGGCCCTGCATGATTTTTAAGATCTAATTCGTGTTTACGAAATGTTAACACGTAATTACGAATCAATATTTCTTAAAAACGAATAAATATTTCGTTGGCTGCAGGTTCCCATTTATATAAATGATACATCACTTAAACCCCTGTCACACTAGCACGGCGTTCTCACGGCGTCCAAAGAAAATTCAGAACGCCAAGGTGAGCGCAATAAGATCGCAAACATCGCCACAGCATCGCCGTAGCATCGTAGTGGCATCGCATAGAACGCCGACCAACGGCGCGCATTTTGAACATGCTCAAAACAAACGCCGTCACTCGGCGTTCTAAAATGAGCGTAGTAGCATCGCAGTAAGGACGCCGTAGCAACTCAGTAGCATCTCCTACAATGCAACAGGAGCGCCGCGAAAGCGCAAAAGGAACGCCGAATGAACGCCGTGGTTATCCACGGCGCTTCAACGGAGATTGAGCGACGTCTTTATTGCGCTTAAACTGCGTGTGCACGGCGCTTTTACGGAGCTTTACGATTTCAACGCAGTGTGAGCGCCGCGATAGCGTCGTATGAGCGCCGTAAATGCGCAGTGAAAGCGCAAAGAACGTCATAGAAGCGCAGTCCGAACGTAGACAATCGCTAATTAAAACTCCGCCGAAGCTCCGTAGCATCGCCATGATCGCCGTGAGGACGCTGTGAAGACGCCGTGAAGTCTTCATGACATCAACAACATCACATTTTTATTGCGATCTCGCGGCGCTTTGTTAAATTTAACAACGCCGTGCAAACGCAGTGAAAGCGCATTCTAGTGTGACAGGGCCTTTAATAAAGAGAACTACTTATTAATTTTTGTTACAAAACTATTCATTTAACGAAAAAACTGGCTCAATTTTTATGTTTTTTAAGTGAAAGGGATTAAAAGTTATCAATATTTTAACATGCAGCAATAGATAAAAGATTTAACTTACAAATTGTGTATAATATAAAAGGGTCAAATGTACATCCATTAACGTTTACCTGACACAAAATGCCTATTTTATCACTTTTAGGCACGAGTGAATATTATAGGAGCTGCTATTAGGCGCCCGGGATACAAGAAGTGTAACAATCTTTTTTATAAACAGTTTCTTAAAAAAAGAAAGAAAAAATCGTGTAATTTCTATAAAGGATTAAACGCACCTTTATGCCAAAATAGGCAGAGACTTGTAATTGGTAAAACTATAATTAACTAATACCCCTAACATTTTTTTATCTTTACTCTATGAAAAGACGAATAAACCCAAAACAGAAAAAGACTTTCATTGAAATAACTGTTAAAATGTCTTGAAAAGGAGATTCGTTTTGATTGAGTCTGTTCATGAGAGATAATAAAAAAATGCCACATCTCCTATACCCCCTGGCACCTCATTAAACAGTTATTCAATATTGAACATGTAATGTGGTTGAATCAATTATAGAGAAGGACAATACAAACATAATAACACTGAACTGAAGTACGAGGGAACTTTTCACAGCTGCCACACACCACTTGAAATGTGCTGTTGTGAAATATAAAAACCTAAACCTTACGTTTCTTGTTTTGTTTTTATTTGATTTATTTGTGCATGTTTCAAGAAGTACAAAACGTTATTCCGTGAAATGAAAACAGAAAACAAGAGCTTACAGTCATGAATACATGTATATACATGCACATCGTTTCAATTTTGTAAAACTTTAAGATTTAAATCATTATACATTTTTGTTAAATCATTAAGTCACACAAGTAATCAACGCAATTGCTTTGTGCAAATATATTATTTTTATTAAGAGAATTAACATTGTCTCTAAAACATTTACTGCTGCGTAGAAACCCAATATCAAAATGTGATTATTACACAAAATTTTAATATATTATAGAATGATCCTTAATTGCTTTATTTTTCATCACTTCAAACTGTGCCGATGTTGGCAACATGTCTTCAAATACCTGTGTGAAAATACGTTCTCTTGATTCTCTGTCTACATTCTCAGGAAAATAATTCGACAACACCAAAAATGTCCCACTTCTATAAGAAAAAAAATCGTTTCATATTTAATAAAAACTGTAGAAAGTGTGACAAACGAGGCCAACTGATTCACGAACTGTATTTTTCATTAAAGTGACATTATGCCCATCCAAGGGTATATAATGAGTAAACGGGTAAATATCAAAATAAGTTTTCATTTTGCCATAATTCCTTTTTATTTAATAATTAAGTTCGCATAAACAATAAATAACACAGAGATCCCAACGAAATTTCTGTAAATATCCATTACAATTTACATGTAACGCTTAGTTTATAAAAAGAGTGGGGCAGTCTTTTTAGATTTTAGGCAGATTTATATACATTTTCCAATATCAACTGTTGGTCAAACACCATTTTGTCAGCTAATCTTTTGAAATATAAAGTCAATTCAGCTCAGTGCGACTATGAAAATATGAGCATAATGTCACTTTAATCGAAATCTAAACATGTATTATACCAAAAGAGGAATTCATTACAGCATTTTCTTCAAAGAAACAATATAACATCTGCAATACTGATGACCTCATCAGTTGTGACTTCACAACACATTGTCATATTTATAGGATAGCAGCACAGCGATATATCCATATAAAATTGTGAACAATTTCAAAAAGCGTTGGAACGTTTGAGCAACGTTTTGGTATACTTTACATTCTTTAACAATATGTTTAATTTTCAGTCAAGTAGTAACGTAGCTCGGATGAAGGTAGTCTAGTACTGGTGTAACTTTCCAGGAACGATGGTTAGGAAACTTCCCGCCTATATCACTGAAATACTGTTGGGAAAAGGCGTAAAATGAAACAAACAAAACAAACGAACAAAGTATTAACGTAGGTATTTTGTTATTATAAAATATTTCTGATACCTTGACAACGTATGTACCAAAAATACACATTTACCTTTGGATAATGTTACTAAGTAAATTAACGACATGGTACTTCTGACGAATGGGCAAATCAGTGTGGCTAACTTCTAGAACAGACCACCTGTGTTAAAATAATATTCTATTGTTAACATTGCTTTATATATTATTTTGTACAGCAACCTATGTAAGTACATGTATCAAACGGGGCCTTTTCACCGTTTAGCGCATTCTGCAGGATTTTCATTGTTCTCTATTTTAGTAGTAAAATGTGAAATTCAATATGAATTTTACCTTATAAATAGGTTTTGTATTACGAAAGTGTGTAAAAAGAGAACAATGTTATTTATTTTAAATAAAAATAATCAACATTTCTTAATTTGTAGTCTTTTTTATATTAAGATTTTTAGATTGTTCTTTAACTCTCAAGTAATTGTAATAGGCAAACACTGGTTGAAATGTCATGTTGTTTTCAATTTTTGTAGAAGATGAAGTTTTCAATTCACGTGTAAAACTGAAATTAATTGAAGCGTCCGATTTAACTTGTAAAATATCATATCTACGTATTCAAAGCTTAAAATAAAAAAATCAAATCACTTGTTTAATGTTTAGTATCTTTATACTTCAAGAAATTATTAAACTAATATAACATACATGTATTAAAATTCATCTGCTCCATATTGAATCGTTTGGTTGGTTTTTATTTGTTTGTGTCGTCAGACCAAACAAATAATGGTAGCAAACTTTCAGACCCTGATCTGCTTATATGCAAATACCGAAAGTAGTCCTAACTCCTCAAAGCGTTTACTTCCCTTTATAAGTACACTAACGCCGAAAAATTAAGGGGAAATCACTGCGTAAAGATTGTCAAGTGACAGGCGCATTAATTATCGGGGAAGAAAAAATAGTTCCCGATTGGTCGAAGATTTCTAATATTGTGTTATTCTTTACAGTTAAACATGCTTATATTAAGCTCCATGCTTATTTACATCAGTGTTAAACAACAGGTTTACCACGGAATTAATAAAGATTACAAACCCTTATTAGAATAATGTGGTTTCTTTAGGGTGTTATCTTAAAACGTCCCCGTGGTCGAGGGTTTACACGCTCGGTTCATAAGGGAGAGGTTTGGAGTTCAAATCGCAGTTAAGGCAACCTTTTTTTAAAAATTGTTTAAGCCAAATAAACATTGAATTGGATATCAGTGTTGCAATTAGCCTTATAGCCAATTTACTACAGTTATAACACTGGAAACAGTATTGTAGGCACTTTACAAAAACAAATTGGTTTATAATCTCACAACCTTCACCTTTCTAACATTCTGAGACCAAAACAAATTCAGCGCCTTCTGTGCTTTGATTACACCAATGTTAACACTTTGGTTGGTCATATCAAACTTACCGTCTTTCAAGTATAACTAATCTGTAATTACCAAATGTTACGCAAATGGCCGACTTCAAATGCCACATGATTTTTGAATCAGCGGCCGGAGGAAGACATAGAGGATATTTGTTTGTTTGTGTGTAAGATGGGCGTTAAAAACAGTATTCTTACGAGTGGCGTAGCCACGAGTGAGAATACTGTTTTTAAAGTTCACGAGATGAAATAAAATTACATCTTACACAACAAACAAACAAATTTTCTTTTTATTTTATGCTTAAGAACAAGTTTAAACGAAATTTCTAGAATATTTACGTTAATGTTAAAATCTGTTTTCCCCATTGAGAGCCCCTTTTATACGGAATTTCTCATTAAAAACAAGAAGTCTTGAGCAGAGAAATAAGTTCGACAATCAACGTTAAATGGCGGTGATATTGTTCATTTTATTAAAAAAATATGAATGATCGCTTGTTTTAATAATAAAAACAAACAATTCTTGTAGGAGAAAAGATCCAACTATCCATCCATATTTCTGTTACTTATATTAGACCTGGCTTTGTTAAATGTAAGCGGCAGCAATTTTTTTAAAGTTGTGTATTTCACGGGAGGAAAATAACTGTGTTTGATTCAGAGAGATATTATTTGGATTTGTTAGTCATACACATTTTTGAAAGAAAGAAAACTTATTTGATGATTGTAACAGACAAAAAGTAAGTGTTGACAGATGTGAAAACATTCTAAAAAGAAGCAGCTAGGAGAATGGAAAACTTGGAAGCTGGCTCAGGAACGCTGGGTTGTTTACTTATTTTTCGAGCTGATGGCTGTCATTACTTTTCAATTTTTCATAAAGCATACGGCAGTTATTGCTCGTAGGATACTTTAATATGCCCAAATGTCATCAAATGCAGTTTTGCATGTGGAAGGAATGTATTTTTCAGACTGTAAAAATGAAACAAAAACATTTAGAGACGAAATTTGGTGTCAGATTGAAATTTGAATGAAAAGAAGTAAGTTTTCTTCTTTTTAGTTCTTTTGACATTAAAGTTATTTATCAATTTTAGCTTTGCTTTTTCTTTAAACAGCCTGACATTGTCAGAATTGTCAGCAAAATTAAATTGAGGTACCACATGGGGAAAATCTTAAAAAGTAGTTTCGTCATTGAAAAGTGTGAAATTATATTTTGATAATTTTCACTGTGTAATTATCAAATATAATATTTACGGATAAATCAGTAATCCACTGAAAAGCATAGAATAAAAATGGTGATTTGACTAAAGTCTGAGATCAACTGTCACGAATAATTTCGTCTCGTCCGAATATTGAAGAAGCAACCACAGAATAACAAATCAGACGCTTTCCTTATTAGCTAAGCGGGTGGACTCTAACAAATGACAAAAACCTTACCTGCATGCACCTAAGCACCTAAATTCGTAATAGACTCACAATATACTGCATATTAGCCTTCATTTAATTAAATAAGATTGAATAATACGGAATTCAACATCCAACAGAAAAAGTAAACTTCCTTGTTTTTAGTTGAATGCTTAACATCTTTGACAAAAATTTTTTCACATAGAAAAGCATAGGTCATAAACAGACAACAATATAAATCACCGGCAGCGTTGGTTTTAATCAAAGCCTAAACAAAAACAACAAGATCATAATTTACCTATTCATCATCCCGGAGACGATGTCTCTGTCCAGCATATAAGGACCAGGTATCGGCATAACCATGTCTTTTGGTCGAAACACCTTGTTGAAAATAAAACCTGTATGTCTTAAAGAAGCCTGCCAACTATCAATTGGGATTTTATCTGGTTCAATATAATCAGGAAGTGGTTTAACGTTTATGCAATCTTCACCGTCAAATTCACAACAAGCAGTGGCGCAATTCTTCTCACATATTCCATTATTTACACTTGTCATCCGACAGAGTTTGTTACAATAATCCATCGCATCTTTGTTAAATTGAAGCTGGAAAAGGAAATATACTGTATGATGAACATGCTATGATAACACAAAATGGAAATTACAATTTATTTCTTAGTTTACTTCCTAATAATCTGTTGCACATCTTTCTGTTTTAAGTGTACCAGCTTGTCTTTGTATGAAACTCAAATTTTATGTTTTCAAGCTACTCTTCCACTCAAAACGGGTCTTAAATCAGCAGCATATGTTTACAGTTACCAAATATGCGTAAAAGTACAATAAACAGTTTCCATGAGTCAACTGTGACCTAACATTTGCCTTGAATCACTTCACACAGATATATAAACATAGTTAACATGTAGTGAATAGGACAGCTTGGTGAGGTAGAACTCACTACACAAATGTTAGTTTTAAACCGAATTATCAAGAAATGGTATCCTTTCTTTTTGTCTTTTTTTAGACATAACTTACTTTCTATGATATATCGTGCAGCAGTTGATTGCAGGGTAAATAAAAACTTACCAAGCGCACATTTGATCTACCCGCAAATAACTCAGATCTACTTGCAACTACAAGTAGTTAATGGGTGTGTTTATGATTTAAGTTAACGTAAAAGTCTTCCGATAAAACCCGATAACAGGAAACAATAATTTTGAATATCTAAATATCCAAAAAATATAGTAAACGCAAATGAATTTAAGCAAACAAAAAATACAAAGCAAAATTGACATTTATATACATATATATATCTTATACGTTACCTTATAACCTGCACTTTCAGTATAAAAATATGACAATTCAACTGTGTTCGTAAATATGACGTCATCTGTCATGTATATAAATCTTTTTGATAATCCGAGTATCCGATGTAGATGGCACTCTATTGCAGCAGTCGAAAAAGTAGGCAGATCTGACCGATTCGGAAATATTTCCTGTATTTTATTCAAAAAAGAATTTTAATCGAATTTTAAAACAAATAACATGCATGGCCGACTGTCATGTAAAAGATAAAACAAAATGCGAACTCATTCAAAATCAAGATATTAACAATGATCAATATAAAAGTACATGTATTTATATAAATTTTAAATAATATTAACTAAATGATAAAATTTCTCTAAGAATCATTAAAAAAGTCAAAATTTTAATGTTTTCTTTAACCAAACAAATGTATTTATCGGATCAAAGACGAAGTGGTTTTATCCCCAATGATAAGTAAGTAATTTTTGTCATTAGGAAAATGATAATTCAGCTTAAAGTAAAATCATAAGTAAAATCAACATCTATATAGACATTGAGTTTCACATTATGATAAGGGCATAGAAACTAAACAAATTTGCCTCTGAGTGTGAACACAATCGAATCGAAACAGGTCCTGGTAGAAAATAGTATATACTAGCAAAAATAGGAATAAATTGTACCCAGAAAAATATCTTTCATTTATATATACACCGTTGCCTAATTTGGGGCAGCACCGTTTCATTTTTTACGGAAATTCCGAACCGTTGCTAGGTGTCTGCACCGGTGTGTAGGCGAAACAGAAAGTAGACAGATTCAGGCACAACAAACTGATTGAAACAATTTTTAATTTCCAGAAATGATTTTATACATGTACGCTAATAATCAAGCATGTTTTCTTTAAGATTGATGCCTCTGATATGGAGGTTTGCTAAAAAATTTACCAGGCCTCTCGGTTCGAATTTCACGTGTGTGTTTTTCGCCAAAGTTTTCAGTAAATAATTCATATAAATCCTATATAACATACATGGTGAACAGGTTGGTCTTATAGGGAATTATTTTTACATTATATGCAACTATCCTTTTATCCTCTAAGTAACGTATATCTCCAAATACATCGGTTACAAAATGACAAGTACCTTCTTGTTGTTTTTCGGTCCGACATCTTGGATGGAAGCACCGTAACACGGAAAATCCGCACCGTTTCACGTACCCGACAGTGTTATAGACATAACGTTCTAAGATATATCGTGCAGCAATTGAATGCAGGATTAAAAAAACTTACCAAGCGCCATTTGATCTACCCGCAAAAACCCTAATACTAGCAAAAATAGGAATAAATTGTACCCAGAAAAATATCTTTCATTTATATATACAAAAAAAAAGGAAAGAAGCCTTGAGTGGAAATTTGTACACAGAAAAATCACACGAAAAATCGGCACGTCGCTGGTGGGACTCGGAACCACGGGTCTCTGGATGCCGGTTCTTTATGTAAACCAACCCAAATAAACTGGAGACGCAATGAGACAATATAAAGAACATTCAGTCATTTAGCTATCAGTTTGATATGTACAATTTGGATCACACCATTCTACCAAACTTTAGAATTTGCTATAATGGCATTGCATTTATCAATTTATATTGCTATATTTGAAATTGGCATGTAAATCAAAGAATGCATTCATAAAAAGTATATCTTGTATGGTAAGACTGCGCGTTTCCACTCACAAATATTTGTGAAATAATACAAAACATATACCTTATGAGTAATAATGTTGATTCGCCGATTGTCCATATTAAGCCAGTATGGAATTTGTCCACTCGTGACTAAATGTACGGTCTTGATCCAAGGTGCAAACTTTTCAACAGATCTTAGAGAGTATTTAAGAGTTCCCCAGTCTCGGTATCGATTCTTTGCTAGCATTTCAAGCCTAAAATTTAAGATTATCAAAGCAGTTTATATACACATGTCTTTAATGTTTGTTTTTAGAGTATATGACATTAGAATGCAACTCTGAATAGCGGTACACAACAAATGAGAAACAATATAGATATTTGCTTGAAGACTTGTCTAACTATTACGCTAGTTAAAAATGAAGGCTAAGCATGTCTTACGGATTTGAATGATCCTTCCTGGCAAGACTCTATAATTCACGAATAAATTTAGGATCTGAGGTGTTTACCCAAATATATACCATGTCAACTGGATCAGTATCATATCCGCTAAGAGTGTCATATGTGCTATATGTGCTCTTATTTGACCTGTTAAAGAAAGAATAAATAAAATACAAAACAAAAAAAACTAAAACAAAAAACACAATCCCTAAAGACATCTGGGCAAAATTCAAAATGTAGTAGGCTCGGTCTATTTGAGCCTATTTTGATTCAAGTCATATGTTAAGTTCGGATGCTATATGCATATAAGCACAAACACTATCTCGTATACTCGTATAATGAAAAACTGCATATTTTTACCCATGAGCTCAGTTTCATATCACTCCAGAATGATTATTGCATACTTATTTTGTAAGTGTTCTTTCACATATGTGTAGTCTTGCAAAAGGTGCTTAAAGTAAATAATATTTTTGTATGAAAAACAATCAATTAATGAATAAACAATTGGTAAGGTCATATTTTTTTGAGAACATGTTTTGTTGTGAAAAATTTTCTGATTTTATATGATCTCAAAATCTCACCATAAATGTTTCACCTCCTTTCTTCCTGTTTCAATAGAGACAAGCTCCCTTCTCAAAATCGCAACATTATGTTTCTAAAATGATATTAATATATACATCTACATCTCAAGACATTCAAACGGGACATTTCAATGTTAAATTGCTAGGTTACTGAATTTCTGACACACAATGAAAATGCAGAGGACGTTTTCAAACCCACTGATTTTATTAGAAATTAAATAAATTTGAGTTGATTCAATAATGAAGAAAAATGATTAGATAATGTTCGACAGTATTTGAATTAAACAAACATATACATACTTGAGATTGTTTTGTTAACGCAGCACTTGTAATGTCAAAATTCAAAATGTTTGTATACCTTTATCAACAAACATTAGGAATATAGCTTATTGAAAATATATCTTACCGATATCCATGCATTCAATGTCTTTATGAAGATGAAACAAAGTAACAACACGAAAAAACATGATAATATACAAGTAATATTTCGTTTACATAAGCGAACAAGATACATTATTGATATATAGTTAAGTTAAACACTAGATTCTGTTACAAGTTGAAGTATTTGTCCCATGTTACGCCGGTTTACATATCATTACGCCTGTTAACATATCAATTAAACAACTATAATGACATCGGTACCAGGTGGCGCTTTTTAGTACAACTCTAGAAATTGGATTTTCCGCGAAGCAAAATGAATATCATTTTTTTTCTTTTGGTTTGGGTTTAAGTCGCGCTGATACAATATAGGTCATATGGTAACTTTCCAGCTTTGCTGGAAGAGGAATACCTCATGTGCTCTTCCGTGCATTATTTCAGCGACGAATTGGCACCTGAGTAGAAACCACAGAGGTTCCGTTAGCAATAGATATCAATTGTATTTAAGCGATAGCATACTTTTTATTATACATCAATTATTATTTAATTTTAAGGTATCAATTAGATAAGATGTATTTGTAGGTAGACTTATGAATTCTGAAAGCAATTAGTAGCTTAGGAGTTATGCCATGTCCACATCTATCATTTTAAGAACACATGTGTCCGTTTTTTCCGACTCGTATTCATAAATTATTGGTCGATATTATTTTAAACTGATTTATCAATTTTGTAATGCAAGGGAATTAAGCACGGATGAAATAATTTCAAAGTCTTGAGGAGTTATGTCGATCTATACTTGATCACTGTCATTATAATGTGGACACTTTTCGCTTTCTTTGTCAAATTTATTACAAACTTTAAACTATATGCCAAAAAATGTGACTATGAAGTAGTTACGGCTTTTTCAAGTTACTATAATTTATAAAAGAATAAAGCCTTAAAGTCCTCAATATTGACACACATATAATATTGTTATATGAAACAAGCGGTATTTTATGAAAACACAACTTTTGAAAAGTTGCCAATAGAAATGGAATTCGAATCAGATAGATACAAATGTTTGGTAAAATCTTTTGAATTATTATTAAAATGTATTCTGGTTTACAATGTGTTTAAGAATAAGGAATATGATATTAATCAGTTACATTTTTCTTGTATAAATTGAAATTAAAGGTCATATTATTTATAAATGAAACTACCGGTAACATGGCTCTAAATTTCTAAATTATTGCATTTTATTCTATCAAATTTTTATATCTGTTTTGTTAAGGGGGAACGGTTCCACTCTAGAAAATGTGTTATAGATAACTTTTGAAATTTATTTTTTATTTCGATGAGGGAACGGTCCCCTCTTACCAGAAACATGGATCTAAATTTCTAAATTATTGCATTTTATTCTATCAAATTGTTATATCTTTGTTAAGGGGGAACGGTTCCACTCTAGAAAATGTGTTATAGATAACTTTTGAAATTTATTTTTTATTTCGATGAGGGAACGGTTCCCTCTTACCGGTAACATGGCTCTAAATTTCTAAATTATTGCATTTTATTCTATCAAATTGTTATATCTTTGTTAAGGGGGAACGGTTCCACTCTAGAAAATGTGTTATAGATAACTTTTGAAATTTGTTTTTTATTTCGATGAAGGAACGGTTCCCTCTTACTAGTAACATGGCTCTAAATTTCTAAATTGTTGCATTTTATTCTATCAAATTGTTATATCTTTGTTAAGGGGGAACGGTTCCACTCTAGAAAATGTGTCTTCGATAAGTTTTGAAATTTGTTTTTTATTTCGATGAGGGAACGGTTCCCTCTTACTAGTAACATGGCTCTAAATTTCTAAATTGTTGCATTTTATTCTATCAAATTGTTATATCTTTGTTAAGGGGGAACGGTTCCACTTTAGAAAATGTGTTATAGATAAGTTTTGAAGTTTATTTTTTATTTCAATGAGGGAACGGTTCCCTCTTACCGGTAACATGGCTCTAAATTTCTAAATTATTGCATTTTATTCTATCAAATTTTATATCTGTTTTGTTAAGGGGGAACAGTTCCACTTTAGAAAATGTGTCTTCGATAAGTTTTGAAATTTATTTTTTATTTCGATGAGGGAACGGTTCCCTCTTACCAGCAATATGGCTCTAAATTTCTAAATTTGCATTTTATTCTATCAAATTTTTATATCTGTTTTGTTAAGGGGGAACGGTTCCACTTTAGAAAATGTGTCTTCGATAAGTTTTGAAATTTATTTTTTATTTCGATGAGGGAACGGTTCCCTCTTACCAGCAACATGGCTCTAAATTTGCATTTTATTCTATCAAATTTTTATATCTGTTTTGTTAAGGGGGAACGGTTCCACTTTAGAAAATGTGTCTTCGATAAGTTTTGAAGTTTATTTTTTATTTTGATGAGGGAACGGTTCCCTCTTACCGGTAACATGGATCTAAATTTCTAAATTATTGCATTTTATTCTATCAAATTGTTATAACTTTATTTTTAAGGGGGAACGGTTCCACTCTAGAAAACGTGTTATAGATAAGATTTGAAGTTTATTTTTTATTTTAATGGGGGAATGGTTCCCTCTTACCGGTAACATGGCTCTTATTTCTTAATTATTGCATTTTATTTGATCAATTTGTTATATCTGTATTTTTTAAGGGGGAACGGTTCCACTCTAGAAAATCTGTTAAAGATAAGTTTTGAAATTTACTTTTTATTTCGATGAGGGAATGGTTCCCCCGTAAGCATAATGTATTTCTGATTACTGAAAAATTGCTTTTTATTTATAGAGACATGTTGTATTCTGTACATAGCTTTTGTTTTTCGGGGGAACGGTTCCCCCGAAAACATGTGCAAAAGAAACAAAAAATAAAATTTGGATGTTTACTTTAGCTGTTTGTCTTTTACTTTTCACAAAACAATACCATTACTTTAGCTGAAAATAATGTAAAAATAGTGCCTTAAAAAGGGGAACGAGTGTATTTCCCCTTTTTAAAATATATCGAGTTAATTATATTTGCTTCTTTCATATATTTGCACAATTTAACAAAATCGTTTTCTGGTTAGTCAAAAGTGACTGTTTACATCGTAAAATTCTCGATACAGTAAACTCTGTTGATAGTAAATTAATTTGGGCATAGGAAATGTTCCTTACAATAACAAATTAGTTCCTTTGATCAGAACTTTTATAAAGAACCAAAACTTTTTATAAAGAAATGACTGTTAAGCATCATCTTCAATTTCTGATTATGATACAAGTATATTTCTATATTCAATTAATTGTCATCTCTATCACATTTGTTACATAAAGAAGATATTGACATAATTTAATTGTTTATTTTATATATGACACTAACATGTTGTACATACTGCATTTAAAAACACTAAGCCACATGGAATGAAGAGTACTAAAAGAAGTGTATGTTTAAACAAGATTTACATGGATACACATCAGTCTTCAACTTTGGATATATTTAACTGCCATTAACCATGACAAGTGTATGTATACATCGTTTTGAAGTTATTCACACTGCCGAAAAATAGGCTTGATCATAAAGAGACTGATGTCAACTTTAAATGCATGTCAATAAAAACAGACGTAGGAAATACAGAATCAATCAATAGACTGTCCGTTTTTGGACATGTATTTTCCATTGAATTTTCGTTTATTGTGACTTAAATATTTGTTTCTTATATAAGTGTTTTTTTTTTCTTATTTTAAACGAAGAAAGGCAGATCTGGACTAAAACAAACTGTTTCGTATATTAACTAAACATATTCGCTATAAAAGTATTTGCTATAAGTGAAGTTAATTGTGTATAACTTGTTTACAATAATGAAGTGAAATATGCGTTCAGGAGAAACATTGTGAATTCCAACAATTACTAAAATTATGTCTAACAGAAAGCCTGAGGTTAAATTTAACATGGTAAATAAATTCACAAAAAATAAATGAGATAATGTTTCTTTTGACTTTAAAGGTAAACATGATCATCATTCATGGTATTCTACTCAGCAAAAATAGAAACCTGACAGTGTATATTTTATTATTATTTTCAGGAAATCGATGACGGAAATGTAAAAACGATGCATGCACAACATTGATTGCATTTTGTTGTTTATTAATTATGTTTAAGTTTGTTAAATAACGCTAGTTCTAAGGAAAGGGTCAAATTCAATTTATCAATTTTGTGGCTAAAACGTTTTGACTACGTGCAAATAGGTTTTAATAAGTTCATTAACAGTTTTAAAAAACATGCATGTTTTTCATTTAATTCAATATCGGCTGCGGTCACCTCTGGCTCTACGTAGTGCGCCAACGCGTCGACGCATAAAATTGTCGAAACGTTGAACAATGTTATTTGGAAGATTGTTCCATTCCTCTTTCAATGCATTTGTCAATTGGAAGATAGTCTGTGGGGCGTGATGTCATCGGACATTTCGGCCAAGCACATCCCAGATATGTTCTATTGGATTCATATCTGGAGATATTGCTGGCCATTGCATGGTATTGACGTTGGCTGCGGCTAAGCGAGCGCGAGTTATTCTCGTCGTGTGAGGACGGGCATTCTCTTGTTGAAAAACAACGGGACCGTTTCTTTGCATAAACGGAACAGCCTCGGCATTCAAAACTTCGTTGATGTATCTCTGGGCGTTGAAGCCGGATCTTTTGTCCACCCATTATCCCGCCCCATACCATGACGCTTCCACTACCGAAACAATCATGCTGTCTAACGCAGACAGGTTCAAATATTTCGCCCTTTCGGCGGTAAATTCTAACACGGCTGTCGGCATGACTGAGATTGTACCGAGACTCGTCTGAAAACAGGACAGTATTCCAGTCACGTCGCCGCCAGTGACGATGCGCACGTGCCCACCTAATACGGGCCTGACGATGGCGTAAAATGAGAATACCGCATGTATATTGGCGTCGCGCTCTAATCGGGCGTTGTTGTGTGCGCAACCGATTGCGAATGGTTTGTGCAGTTACGTTAAACGCGGGTGCGGTCAAGGTCGCCGGTCTGAACCTGTCACGTAAGCGAGTTAAAAACAACTGCACGGTCATCCCTTTGGGTAGTTGCCCTTGGCCTACCACGTGCACATCACCTGTAAGTCTATAGCGTCTTATAAGTTCATGACCTGTTTTGCGACTTCAGTTAAGCGTTCTACTCACGTCAATAACAGATGCCAAACCCAGCAGCATTCTTATTGCTTGGTTTCTCTCTGCTGCTGGTAAACGCGGCATTGTAAAAGCTATCAACTTTAGGTGTGAATTCTAAATTGTTAATGAACACATGCATAGTGCCTTACATCATTGTCTATCTGACATCGTTCACGTGCTAAAACTAAAATTTCACGCTTAGCTGCATTCTACTGACAATACGCGGTCAAAACAAAAATAAACATGTATAGTATATCTACGAGTATAGTACATGAATACTCCCTACACATGTTTTGGTATAAATCAGAAATTAGAAAATATTTAAAAGACATAAAGTTTCAGGTTTCTATTTTTATTGAGTGTGAGAATGTAAAAGCTGTTACCAATACCAAAGAAAAATAATATGAATAGTGACATTGAACATATGTTGCGTCCATTATATATAACTTTCAGCCTCTAGACTCGTAAACAAACTTGTTTATCAAATCAATTTCTTCGATTTAAGATGTCTTGAACTGAACAGTAACAAATACGCGATGCATTATGAAAACCTGGTGTCTTGGTGTAATTTTAAATATTTTAGTTTTTGGATGTTTCGGAAAACAACCACCTCATATAATCTTCATAGTTGCTGACGACCTTGGTAAGTGTTTTTGTTTATAAATCGTATATTAAACTTTTAAATGATGAAGAGTGAATCATCAAATGCTACCGTATGCTATGAAGCCAAAATCTCCAAGAAATATTTTGTTTGCATTATATAAAACACGGCAAAAGCGGAAATTATACCAAATGTACATATTATAATCAATTGACAAAAAAAAAAAACATTAGTAATTTCCAATAAGTTAACATAAAACATGTTCGAAATCATAAATAAATCGTCTCAATGAAGAAACTGATTTGGTTCTTGGCATATACCTGATATTTTAATATGATCAATATTGTATTAAAAATAGAAATCCTTTTTATTTTAATTCACACCAGATATAATCATTTGTATATTTAAGTAATTTGATAATAAATTCGTCTCAAACTTTCTAATGTTCTAGTCTTCATGAATACATATTTTGTTTAAGGTTGGAATGATGTTGGATGGCACAATCCTAAAATGCACACACCAAATCTTGACAACCTAGCAAGACAAGGAGTCATTCTAGATTCATCATATGTACAATCAGTGTGTACCCCGTAAGTTTGATTTTGCTTGCTCTGTTAAACTGTAGGTGTAGATAAATTTAGAAGTTATACAGATTTGAATGCCATGTTACTATGATGCACTAATGCACGCTACAGACAGAACGAAAAAAACAGCAAGTTACCAAGAAATTCATTATTTAATAATTATTAATCTGAAAATAATGCTATGTTAACAATCATACAAATTGATATTCATTATTTAATAATAGATCTTACAAAAGCTATCCCAATAATCATACAAACTGATATTTAATAATTAATAAAAACCTTAAAATAAATATAAAAAATCACACAGACTGATATTTATTATTTCATAATAAATCTTATTAAAGCTATATCAACAATAATACAAACTTATTTTTATTATTTCATAATAAATCATATGTCAACAATCATACAACCTGATATTCATTATTTGATATTGAATATTACAATAACTAGGTCAACAATCATACAAACTGATATTTATTATTTCATAAAAAAATCTTACTAAAGCGATGTCAACAATCATACAAACAGTTCCAGATTTCTATATAAAAGTGTTTTACGTATTTCAGATCAAGAAGTAGTTTAATGACAGGATTATATCCATATCACACCGGAATGCAGGTACATTTATGCCATTGTTGTTTCTTCTCATACTATTGAATCAATATTAATGTCATCAGGATAAAAAAATAACAAAACACAATTTACAAAACATGTTTCGCTTTAATAAGCTTCATCGGTTGATATGATAAATAAGAAAGGAAAATCTTAATATCAACGTCATTGAGATAAGTCAACATATAAACATACAACAACCAACAACTAAGTTATGAAGTGGTGCAAACATAATTATATAAATTGAATCCTGAATAATTTCTCTAGATAAAAATTCTGTTACTCAGTTTCCTTTGAGTATTACTTGTATCCCCTAAAGAACTGATATAACGGTGTGATTATTATATAAAAACGCTGATCCATTTGAGAATAGAAGCGTTTTTCCAAGAATCGTCGAAATAAGATAAACAGATAAGTAAAATGTGCATGCCTGTTTTGATGGACATAAAACATACTAGATAATGGATGTGCTCAAATTATTTATTTTAAGTTGATTAAGGAATATTTTATATCATATATCTTTGTCACTATATGTTTAAACTTATTTAATATCTATGATACGCAATTGCTTACCAATACAGCACGGTGTTATAAGACCATTTGAGCCAAAATTTCTCCCGGAACAGTTTGAGATATTACCACAGAAACTGAAGAATCTAGGATATTCTACACATATCATTGGAAAGTATGTAAAATATATATATTATTTTGTACATATAATGTATATTCAATATGTGCACTCTTTCCATGTATGTTTTAATTGATCGCATGTTTATATTGATGCTATGGTTATTGTTCTTGTGTGATATATTGCATAATAAAGTTTTTTCTTGTTTTTTTTCTTCTTCTTCTACTTCTTCTTTCTTCTTCTTCTTACTCTTCCCTAATGACAATATGATGAATGTCAAAGAAAGTTCTTTATGTCTTTTTTTGCCTATTTATACATGTAGAGTATTTATCATTATATCATACGCCTCTGTTTTATTTGTAAAAATTATGAACTTAAATATGTTTTTTATATTAATTATCATTTATATTAAACTAGTTATTTTTTTGGAAATTCAATTGAAATGCTAGCACTTACCATATATATTTTCGATATATGATTTCGATGTATGATTTCCAAATTCGTTGATCTTGATACTGTTAGTTAAGACACGTTATTCGTTATCAAAGCTTGGCATAATGTTATTTAAATATTTCTTTTCAAAATGTTTAAATCATAAATACTATAGAGCATCTTTATAGTAACCTACAAGAGATGAATTTCTTTAAAATTTAATACAAAAAAGTTCAACAAAACAAAATTATAACTTACTTTATTTGTTAAATAATTCAGATGGCATCTTGGATACTGTAACTGGAAATACACACCAACCTATCGTGGATTTGATTCTTTCTTTGGTTTCTATGCAGGATCGGAAAGCTACTACAATCATACGAAATGTAAGAACTATTCCATGTCTAAAGTTGGTTGTATAATTTTAAATGTAAACTAGTTATAATATAGCTTACATATAGCAAACAAAGACTATGAGTTGCGGCGTGGTCGAGTGGTTAATTATTTTGATCGTAGGAATCAATAATGTTTTATCTTATTTAAAAAACATTTTCCGGCAATATACCACTGAAATTACAAAAAAAAATGTTTCACTGCAGTAAAAAGTGAAAACACGGAAATATTATAATACACATTGTAATTCATCAATGCTTTTCAATTGTATTTATAAGTATAAAAAAGTGACCATACTGAACTACTGTGTACTTTTTCAACTTTTCTATAGGAATATCCAAATTAAATACATGTCTTTGTTTTCATCTGCAAAGCAAGTCTGCACTGTCGTGTAAGCCTGATCAAGGTTTAAACTGTTGGCAACTTAATGTTATAGATATTGAAATTATTTTCTTTTCGAAGGAGAAAGATACAGATTGTAGAGAATGCTTATCTTTTACGCAAAATCAAGAGATTTATGGGTCACCATTATGTCAATAAAAAGAAAAAAAAAGAACAGGCTAATTTTGTTTGCAAGAAAAACATAATTATTGTCTTGATGTCAGCTTCTAGCACTTAAAGTGTTTAATATTTACTATCGCTTAAGCGGTGCGGGATGTTGCATCTTTTCATAATCCCGTTATGTACAGACAAATTTAAACCGAGTCTGCATTTCGTTGTGATTAATACTTCAGAGGCATCACCCATTTTCCAAATTTTGATATATCATGTACAATTGTTAAAAAGAAAAAGATTATCATCTTTAATTTTCAGCAACGAGTTATGATTTCAGATTGAATGAGGAAGTTTATCATCAAGCCAAAGGGATATACTCAGCGGTAAGTGAAGAAAACATTTAAAGCTGACGCTGTTCTAACAATTAAGAATACGTAATAGATGTACGTTTATTGCAGCGAATAAAGGAACGGATCGAGATAACATGCTCAGAAATGTATACAAGATGGCCGGAGTGATTCATTAAAAAGCATTTACACGATATCCTGCATGTATATTATATTACAATACAAAATATTTCCTCCTTACATGATCAAGGAAAGGTATTTGATCGTTATTGATAAAATATGTTGCACTTATTTAAGCTTCAGTCACATTACACCGCATAGCGTTAACGGACGCAAAACGCAAAGGAAAATGCGGCTGAAAGTTATCCGGTGATGAAAAGCATTTCCCGCTGCTGCTCGGTGCTCTCATGATCGCTGTACGGGGCGCATAAAACGTACAAAACGCACAATGACCGAACGATCAACGCACATACACCGGATGAACGACGTACAGTTTACGGACTTCACCGTACTAGTTACGGATTTGTACCGCACAAAACGTACGCGCAGCGCATGAAAAACTGACAAAACGTTCTTTGAACGTTCGACGAGCGTATTTCTACCGGTCACGTGACGGACAAAACTGGTATAAATAGTCCGATATTTTTTTGTTTCGTCATAATAGTTTCCACACTCACAAGGATCACACGCGTGCTCAAAAATGCCAAAAGCCAAGGCAACCAATGCTGGGACGGGTAAGGCCAGGGGATGGAGGAATACTCCAAGATCACCCTCTCCTCCCCCTGATAATGATGCTGTTCAAGAACAAAAAACCGTTGAAGTTACTGAGGAAGAATCTCCGTCTGTAAAAATTCCAAAAGACTCAGATCTACCAAGTGAAAATGTAAATAAAAATGCGATTTTCAAAGTAGGAATAATCATGTTAGTAAATTATTGATATTTTAAAAGACCAGAAATTATATACATGTAATTGTTCGAGTTATCATCCAGAATCATGGGAAAATAAAAATATTTACTTCTCGCAAGATGACAGAGATGGTGTTGTGAGGTAACCTCCAGGCAAACCGCATGTTGGAATACTTTGACCCTGACGCAAGATGTCTGAGAGTGACGGCTAACTTCATTCCAGGGTCAAGATGGGTTCTGTATGTGGTATATTGTTTTGTTATTCTTGGACCCACTCGTTCCAGAATCTCATCAAACATCTCTTGAGGCATCCTCATGAAGTTCGTAAATGACCGCTGGTCTTCTCTCCGCAGCTCAATCATGGGTTGATCGTAGAGACCAAACATTCGACGTCTCTCAGGACCCAGCCAAGCCTTTGACCACCACCTCCGCAGTCACCTTCTTCTTCTCCTATTTTCAAAAATGACACTATCTACATTCGTATCCAACAGGTCAATACGTGCATGGATCACGGTCGCTTGATACTGCAGGCGGGCTCTTACGCGACACTCCATGATATGTGGATCATTGACTCAAACTATCAAAGATCAGAAGGCCCTTACACTTGAAATGTAGGAAAATATATGCCAGTTATAACCAGGGAAACTTCGTTTTATTTATCATCAATTTTGTGCGGTGAACAATCGATTCATGTCTGTTATTTATCAGTGATTATATGTCCCTTGTTCGTTATCCTCCGTTTAACATACGTTACATCCGCTACATGTCCGTTAGTAGTCCGGCCGTGAATCAGGTCCACCGGGCAAGAAATGGCTCTAACCGGACATGTACATAATAAGGAACGTACGAGAAACGAACCAATCGGATACCAGCGCATGGTTACCGTACATCTGACAGACAATTTTTTTCGGTGGTAAAAGTTCCAAATTTTAAACATGTTCATAACTTTCCACCGAACGGAACGAACACCACGGGCACCGCCGGATAAGAAGCGCAAACGATGCATGATAAACAGAAAAGAAACGCATGCGACGGATTGAAAATTTTGTTGTGCGTTGGACGTCTGCTTTTTAACGCTATACGGTTTAGTGTGACTGAGGCATTAACGGTGCACCGATCCACGAGACGTCAATAGGTTTAATATTGTCATGACGTATGTATAACGTCATATTACGTGTAAGCATTCTTTTTATGCCATGCATTTATCGTGTCAAGATTCAATCAACTGTTCTGTGTGTTTGATAGGGGAATTATGTGAAGTACGTTAGCATTCTGAGTACACTTTGTGTTATATAATGATATTTCACAAACATGTTTGATAAAATAAAGTTAATACGACTTTTCTATGCTGTTTAAGCATTATAATATGTAGATTTTATGTGAATCTTTTATGTGATGCATATTTTCTTATTTTATTTTAAGACGCTTGAAGCAATGATTATTACATCCTCCTGCAATATCTATAAAAAAAACAAAACACAAAAAAAAACACACAAAAAACACACAACAAGAAACACACAACACACAACCCAAACAGTTACCAAAACAAAGAATTAAGTTAAGATTCGTATACTTAATTTACAAATAGCTATAAATCTTTATATTTATGATAATTCTGTAATTAATACAGCACTATTTTTTTCAGGAACTATTTTCTAATCGTGCTATCGACATAATTAACGAAGCAGATCCTGACTCTCAACCTTTGTATTTATACATCTCGTTCCAATCAGTACATGGTCCACTAGAGGTAAACATTTGTACATTTATATACCTTAAACATTTTTATTTACTATTGCAGTAAATTGAGGTTTATTTTATATGGAGTACAAACGTAAAATAATGGAATGTTGTATTATTATTTTATCTTTTAAATTTTAGTTTTTAAGGATAAAACAATATTTTAAAATACATTAATATCGTACAGTTGTTGTTTTGACGCTGTGTCTACATGTGTTGTTTCTAATATGAGATCGAGTTTTTCTCATTGTCACTAATGATGTTGTGATTCGAAACAATTTAACAACAGTGATAAGTAACAGTTGGTATGTCATTAAACTGATTTTAATGTTGAACTGATCATATATTTCCCACAAGTTTACATGTCAACGATCTTTTTCTTACTAAAAATTGACAGTAATGCCTCCACATTAGCCATTTTTATCATGAAATTTAAACTTCAGAAAAATGTACCTTAGATTTTAATACAAACAAACATATTCAAACTTCAAGTAAAGTATAACATGTTATGTGAAATTAATGACTGATTTGCAAAATTTATCACCATATTTAGAACTATTGTCTGCCGAACAAGTAAGGGTGATTTAAATTGACATCTTTTTACATGAATTGAAAGTGCTGTTTACATTAAGCAAATTACTTTCCTGGTTCACTTCTTTTATATAAAATTGTCATCAGAATCTGAAAGTATGCTGCTTTCCGTTTTATCAAGCCAAGTCATATTAAAAGTAAGTCTAGACCAATAACCTGTGTGCATAGTTCCAAAGATTCTTTGCCCATTTCGTTTTATTTTTTCATAAAATTATTCTTATCGTGAAAAACAATCCGAAGTTGAAAAAGCCTTGCATAGCTTTTCTATACTCACATCGAGTTAAATATAGCACAGACATACGATTTTCAATTGATTTCCGTGTATATTTTAACTATAGTTTGCAAGCCTTTCTTTTGTAATTGCCCTAGCTGATTTTATTAAGTAATTCAAATTTTAAAGTTTAGGTTTTAGGACCTCAGTGGAGTTCCTTAAAATTGCCTTTGAATAAGTATTGATTTAGAAAGTTAAGTTTCTCTTTGCTTTATAATTAATTAGTAGAAGTTCTCTTATTAGGTTCCGGAACGATTTGAAAAATACTATCCAGATGTGATCTATCCTGACAGGAAAACGTATAGCGGTAATTATTACCCGCCTAGATAAGTTGTTAGAATATTTGTATCTATATTCATATATATTCAATCATTTGAAGTTCTTAAATCTTTAATATAGCTTACTTACAATTATACTTGTTATTCTTTACTCGTCAGTTATTTAAAAGCACAACTTTTAAATGTCTATTTATATTATTTTTCTCAATTATATCTCGTTTTGTGATACAAAGGTCAAGGGAATTATCTAGCAATATATATTGTTACAATGGTGCCTGTAACGCATTAAATATAGTTATTATATGTCGATTATTGACTGGTGTGCCATTGAATATGATGTTAAACACCTGCAGATGGCAAATTTACCGAAGTCACGATAACTTTATCAAGAAATATGCCATAAAGAGCAAAACGCACGAATACCCTTTTTATGCATACGCGTAATTAAAAGTCTACGATGTATGGTCATTAATTATGAGAATCTAATTTTTAATTAGTGAATTCAGCCAGTGAATATAAAACTACACCCAGTGAATATGATTCAATAATTTGTTCTGTTGACCATGTTCATATTTATTTACAAGTAAAATTGTAGGGATGGTATCTGCTCTAGATGAAGCGGTGGGAAATATAACTGGTGCACTTGAAGCAAAGGGCTTTATGGACAACGCTGTTATAGTTTTTACTACTGACGTAAGTATTACGTCATATGGAAGTGCACATATTCAGACAAACGAAATATGTTTTTTACAAACTTGAACATACATTATATTTTAAGTACATATATTATGGTGTAGAAGTATTTTGCTTCTATTTGTGAATTGTTTGATGGAGGGTCAATTCTTTTCAATTCCTTAGATCAGCTTCTAGATTATATAAGAATTTGTTAATTCTTCTATTTTATTTACAAGTTTTCTTTTTTTCTGATCACATATCACGAAATGAAAAAAAAAAAAAAGAAAAGAAAAAATACTGAGATATTCGTAGTAAGAATATAGATATATAAATGGGTAAACAACATACATCAATTAGAAACACATGTATAATACAGTAGTATACGTGTCAATAATAAATCATTGCCATAAATAATAAATATTAAGCATGGCTTACCATGCATAGAAAAGAATAAGAATGATTTACAATGCATGAACATTATTGACCATGCATAATAAGAATGACTAAATATGCATAGAAAATTATTAGCATGAGTAACACATCGTCAAAATAGCCATTTTATTTACATAATGAAACACAAATGTCCGTGATTTTGTATTTTTTTAGTTTAAACGTGACTTCACAATTGTCCAGTTTGCGCGTTGTGCATCTTTTATGAAATGAATTTAGAAATAAAAAAGGAAGACAAAAATTGGTTAAGAAAGAAGCTTCAAACATTGGCAGAAAGCTTATTTTCAGCAAGTCTCCTTGTTGACGAGCAGGTCCAAGGAAGAAACCAATTAAATCAGCAAAATCCTGGAAGCAAAGTGATCCCTCGGAAGCATTAATCACAACAAAATAACATAAGAATTGCAGACTCGTTTTGATTGAGTATGTACATGACGGATAATGTATAAGTGCAACATCCCTCACGTCCCCTGGCACCGGCTTGAGCGGTACTCAATTCTCAACACTTTATAGTGTTGGCATCAATGATACCGAAGGACCAGAAAATATAACAACACTGAAGTGAAGTACGGGGCAACTTTTTACGGGTGTCACACGGCACTTGACACCTGCTGTTGTGAAGTACCGCTCTTGAGTACCGCTCAAGCCGGTGCTAGGGGCGTGAGGGATGTTGCACTTTTACATTATCCCTCATGTACAGACTCAATCAAACCGAGTCTGCAATTCTTAAGTTATTTTGTTGTGATTAATGCTTCCGAGGGATCACTTTGTTTCCAGAATTTTGTAGTGAATAGTTGAGCCTTAGCAACAGTCCGCTTCCTTTAAACAAGAAATTCGTAGAGCGGTTCGCTTCCCAGAAAAGAAGCAAGTCTTAGAACGGTCTGCTTCCAAGAAAAGAACCATTTTTTAAAACGGTCCGTTTCCAAGGAAAGAAGCAAGTCTAAGCAACTATCTGCATCCCAGAAAAGAAGCAAGCAATTCTAAGAAGCGCAGCAAGCCTAAGAAGCGTAGCTGGTCCAATAGTGCAGCAAGTCCAAGGAAGCAAGTCTAAGAAGCGTAGCAAGTTCAATAGTGCAACAAGTGTAATCGTGCAGCAAGTCCAAAAACTGCAGCAAGTCCAAGGAGCGCAGAAAGTATAAGAAGCATAGCTAGTCTAATAAATCAGCAAGTCCAATAGTGCAGCAAGTCCAATATTGCAGCAAGTTCAATACTGCAGCAAGTCTTAGGAAAGCAGTAATTCTTAACTTATAATCACAAGTACCGCTCGGAATATCGATGCAAATCTCATAAGTGAAACAAAAACTTGACACACATGCATTGTTAATCAGTCACATGATTCAATCACATATTTGTCTTCCATTTTTTAGAATGGTGGTAAAGCTACTGAGGGTGGTTCTAATTATCCGTTACGTGGCAACAAAGGCTCTTTATGGGAAGGCGGTACCCGAGGTGTGGCCTTTGTTCATAGTCCTACCTTACTGAAAAAATCGGGATACATTAATACCGAGTAAGATTCCTAATCGTTGCATTTTGTAATTTGTGCTACTTTAAGCCAAGTATCTGGAATGAAATTCTTTCTATTTTCACTCTTTTAATTGTACAGGTATCTACATGTTTTTTTATTGGTTTGTTCTTTTTAACTTAGTAGAAATATTTGTATTATTCTACGAGTTAGATCGATCATTTTTAGTCATAATTATATTCTTAGGAATAGCATACACAATAATTATACAATTTGCCTTTTGATAACTTATTGATCATACAAACGTGTTGTTCACTTTAACTGTACTTACTGAATTCCTAATCAGTTACAAATTATTTATCATATAATGATTAACCTGTCCGTGCTCTGTCTTTGCCTTGTCCTGTTTTTGTTTGGGGTCCGCCTGGGCTCCTTGCCATTGGTTCTTGTTGCTGGGTCATATGGGGGTTGCGTTCGTTGAACGCTGCCTTTTATCCGTATTGATCTTGTTTGTCATATTTTACATTCACAATAATACAATGTAACTACATTGTAGCTATACTTCTGAATTCAACATTTAAACATGAAATAGTAAAATTTTGAATTTAGAAACATCCGCAGATGTGTTCATACGGCGGTTATCATGGAAGAATAAAATTTTGTCCGCATGAGATGGGCTAAGTAATTGATAATTTTGAATGTTTTTCTTCACAGAATGATACATGCTGTTGACTGGTTCCCTACACTTGTACAATTGGCTGGTGGTAAACCAGGTACAACATTTTAATTTTTTAAATATTCGTTTACAGCTTTAAATTCATCAAGTTTTGTTAATTAAGTTCATAAATATGTCAGAATCAAAACCAGTTGTAAAATAGATTTAAAGGGAACTGAAAAGTTCGCAATACATCAGCTTGCTTTTGTTTATGGAACAAAACCAATGAAAAGCATAAACATTATACTTACTTACTTAAGCTGAATGTATGTTGATGGTCTCGCATTATTTAATTTCTCTTGTAGTTTGTTTTTTTGGTTTGCAATGACGATAAAGTATTCTAAAGTAATTATGTTTGAAAATATCAACGGATGTTTGCCATTAAATTCAACAAATGCATAGACAAATACATGTATGTTTGAAATTTTAAGATCCTTCATTAGACGGTGTAAACCAGTGGAAGACTATCAGTAAAGGACTTAGGTCAGCTAGGGATGAATTCATCTACAACATCGACAATATTGTTGATAAGTGGGCTATTAGGTTGTTGCTAAAACCTTTTCTCTAAAGAAATTACAAATTTTCAAAATCATCTCCTTGATAGATTGATAATGTTTGTCAATTTTTTTAAAATCGGTGTAACAAATTACTTTGCCAAAAAGAAATTTTAATATTCAGTTGTCAAGAAAGAAAAGATTCCTTACAACATGTTAAAGTATTTGAATAAAATAAAATATCTTTGAATGACTAGAATTTGTATACGCATCCATAAAGAACAAAAATCTTTTTTCAGGGTTGGAGATTACAAACTTTTATACGGTGAAAACCAAGACGAAATAGACACGACTAAAGAGCTGCGACTATTCAATTTGAAAAGTGAGCACTGGCAGAGATATTTATTTTTTAATAATACATTAATTGTTTCATTTAAACCATTGTCTTTAATAACTTCTCTTACAAAACAAATATAGTTTACTACCAGTTGTATTGAAATGATAAAAAGGCATATACTTATCTCTCGTTATTCAAAACTATTTACGATTATGTTATGTTATATCTTTCAGACGACCCATTTGAAATGGAGGATATTGCCGAGAAAGAAAATGATAAAGTAGAATCTTTAATGAAAAAACTTAACTCTTATCGCGATACTCTAGTTCCTGCCAATACCGGAGTTAAGGATGTTCTTGCAAATCCACATCAATTTAACCGTGATATTTTAAGACCGGGATGGTGTTAATCAAAGACAAACTAATGTATACGATTTTGTATAAAACATTTCATAACAAGTCTTATAAAAACACTTATTTTTTTAATAAAAATGGAATTCCAAAGGAAATATCAGAAATGAAAACGATTTAGAATAAAGGATATTTAGAGATCATATTTCAGCTAACATTATATGTAATTTCTTTTTTTCTATTTCAAAAATTTACTAATATTCGTACGCATATAAAGTGTTCTTAAAGTTTGCCATAGTTTTGGCCTGAAATACAATGAGCATTCAAATTTCACGTGCAAATAAGTCATAATGTCAAATGTGTGCACGGATGCTGCTTTCAAGTGTGCTTTTGGTCTACTGGTATTTCAATGATTAAGATTGTAATTCATTACTTGTAAAATTGAGAAAATAACAATCCCTGAAAAAGTCCAAAACAACAAAACTGAAAATGTAGCAGGCTTAGTTTGATTGAGCCTATTCACTGACGGTACTGTTAAGTGCAAACTACCTAAAATTTCACTGACAAAATCGCGTTAAAATACTCGAGATATACAAATATGCGTTGCACTTTTTTGAAAGATAAAGAATTAAAGTAATCTGACAATGATAAAAATCGAAAACGACAATAACGATGGTTCACAGTGGTAAGTAGCAATTGCAAATAAAAATTACTCATTTATTTGCCATACAACGAAACATAAGCAACACAACTATAAGACACTTTGTGCAACCCATTAAAATAGATAACATGGAAATCTTAAGGGTCCGTGCTGGTCTACGCTCTATGAACGTTTCAATCGTACAATTTTTGAACGTTCTTTAATGAGGTTGACACATCTAGCGTAAGATTAACGTGCGTCTAACGCATAACTCGCATGTGTCTAACGCACGAGAAGCGTGTATCAGCGACCAAATAATGTAAGTCGGAAACCAGTAAGCGTGTACCAACGTGCCACTGGCGCGGGATGAACTATTTGTCAACGCCTTACGAGTGTTGTCAGCGTGTGACTTACGCGTGAATAACGACAGAATATATACCGTCTTGATGGCGTGTTTATTACGGCTTAACGGGTACAAAACGCTTAGAATTTGTTAGTGAATTCAGTTGTTTTTGTGAGTTTGAATAGTCAGCATCTCGACACTAAGAAAGAAAGATTGGGGTGAGGGCTCCTACTTGCTACATTTTGTATTTTCAAATCCCTGACGTCTTTATATTCATGATCTAGTCCAACAGTGTCGTCTTTGTCAGGGTATTCTTCTTTATGAATGAAAGTCGGGGTTTTTCTGCGGATGAATTCCCTCGATATCTTTATTCAGTACATCTACTTGATGCTTGGCTATAGCAAACATATATAGCGTACTACGTTTTCAGAAACTTCCATAGTAGGTCTTCTCTACGAAAGCCCAAAATTAAATGAACCTTGCTTTTAACATATGCGTACACGTTTGTAACACGGTCGAATATCGCTCAAATGACGCCCAATGGACACCAAAATGACGTTCGTTAACCTTTAGTCACACGTTTTGTGCGCTTGATGACCGTTTGGCGGTCGTTGACAGGTCGCCAGTGAGTTGCCAGTGGGTCCTTTACTGCAAAGCAAACGATTTTTAACAACCAAGTAGCGATTGAGTAATGACTGACTAACGATAGCCGAACGTATGTAACGTTCGGCGAAAGTTAGTAAAACGATCCATAAACATTCTTAAACGTTCTTCAGTGTTTGAAATTTTAACGTTGAAGAACGCGGGTCTGAGTGAGAACTTTTGTGCATTTTCAAAACCTTTTTCTGGACCACCAGCGTTCTACGCCGATTCCCGATGATTACTGGCGTTCCAACGTTCTTCTGGCGCTATCCCATCAACCATGGGCGACTACCAACGTTTCCTAAAACGTTATAGAACGCTGACCAGAACGTCATGGTGTGACACCCCAAAAAAAACCCGCACATGCGGTTAAATGAAAAAAGTTTCCCCTGTGCCCCGGGGACAATAGTGGTAAATTAATTTTCCCGTAAATTCCCTTAATTTCTGGCTTTAGAACCTCACTTTTTAACATAAATCGGGGGGTTTAAATTTAAGGATTGAGAACTATCGCAAATGAGTTCAAACGGAGGTGATGAGCAATAAAAAATGTATTATTGTAATTTTTTTGAGACAGTTTTAATGTGACTTTATTTCCCTTGGGATACCAATATATTCACTGCTACTACCAAATTTACAATAAATGATTACATGTCATAAAATTGTCTTAACTGGTGAATGTATTAAACGGGATTAATATTTATATTGTCAAATTGTTCTATCTATTTCGTTTTACCTGAACATGTTTCAATTGATTTTGCAAACAATAATAAACAGCAAAAATTTTTTTAAGTGAGTTGTGTTAAACATAAAATTTCAACTCTTAAATCGGCTAAAGAGTGCTAAAGATTGTGATGATCAAAGAAAATTCATGCCCTCAAATATGCGTTTCGTGTTCAAAGTAAGTTCGAATTTTCATTCTTAAATTATCTTTCTCCGTAACAATCGATTTCGGACATTGAGCTTAATGATCATTTGTCCCTCACAGCAAGCTGATTAAGAAATCATGTGGAATTTGCAATCAGCAACTTGTTGATAATTTGGTATTTAATGGTTAGTAATCCAGGGAAGTCAGTTAGAAGGAGCAGGCTCTAAGGTAAGAAAATCAATGTATTTAAATCGGTATGAGAAACAGACTAGCAAAAGAAGTTTTATCTGAGTTTGGTTTCAAACAAAAATATTAGAATTATTTTTTTAGGTTTTAGGTTATTATAAACGGTTGAAAATGGAAAGTCAATAACATTCATTACGACCCATCACATCTTTCGTAAATAATTTCAAAAGGTCGGGGAAGTTATTTTTACTGTTAATGGCAATTTAAAACCGAGACTAAGAAATTGATATGTTACCTTTTAAAACGGGTATTTTTTAAAATTTGTATAAAACCCTGGTCACAGGGTAAAATTTTTAAAATAAAAAAAAACAAAGTGACCTGCTTTTTTTTTCTCATTTCATTTTTTTTTTCAAATTTTCCCAAAACCGAAAACCCGGCATCCCCAGAGTAAACTTGACACCATAAAATTTTTGTTGATTTGCATCCAAAAAGGTTTTCCCACGAAAGGGAAATATTTTTTGGTAAAAAAATCAAAAAAGTAAATTTTTTATTAAAAGTTATTGCAATTTTGATAAAATGTGTCCCTGGAACATACAGACGATTAAAGCATGGAACAAATGAATATTTAACAATTTTTTATCAGTGAATCATTACAGATATGAAGGCCAGACATAGGATATCATCGTTACTTTGTAAATACATTTTGTCAAAAACCTTGCGAAGACTATTCTGGATACAGAAGGGTCATATATTACAGATCATAACCGTTTAAACGGGTTTGTGTTTTGTTTTCTAAATGGAACACAGCTAATAGTATGATTATCACTGGTAGATATCATCACTTACTTAAAGCTATATATCTGTCTATATATCAAAAATTATTGTTTAAATTTTAAATAAAATCTATATATTTCTTAATTGTTTTAATGAAAAAAACATGGTTATTTATCGTCTTAAAAGCGTATGGCGCATGCACAAAATTATTGCTAAACGGATAAAACCCTTCTTAAAGTAGCAAATAATAATTTGTTCCGTAACTTTTTATTCTGTTAACGTACATTATTCATGTGTATTAAATAATAGAGACATCTATGTTGCAACATTTTCGGGAATCAACCATATACATGATATAATGAATGTACCAATATAATTCTACTGTTGATGAACTTATTCAAATATTTCATAAGATGTAGATTTATAAAAGAAAAATAACTTCACAAATAGGCCTATAGTGCACATTCAACTTGCAAGGTAAGGACAATTTAGTTATTGTTACTCTTGGTTTAATTTTGTTACAGTTAGATTTAGCAGACAATTTCAGATAATCGGGGTAATAAAAGAAATAACACATGGGTTTTGTGAGTAACAATAAAACTATCATCCCTTGTAAAAATACTGTTACCAAAAAACCCATGTGTTATTTATATATTGTTGGCGCCGCGCCGAAGCGCGGCGGCTATTGGAATGAAATGAGATTTTGTGAAAGGGCGACAGCAACTTTTCGAGCCTTTTGTAGTTGCCAATAATAAAAGCCGATCATTCCGATCGGTATGAGGGTGCTTGATTATTAATAAGTCGCGATATGTACAATGAATGGCGAACTGGAGAATTTCGCAATGCAAACATTTTCAAATTAAAATCAACCTTTTCCGTCAATAAATCGCGCTCTTTCGGGGTATTTTTGCTTATCATTTTTGTAGTACACAGCTGGGTTATTATGGTATGTTATTCCGAAAGCTGTTAATAGAATGATGAGTTGATGACCTAAATATTCCGAAAATCTATTTATAGAGGGATGGTTTTTTTCCTTTTTAATTGGTTTAAAATTTCCCGGTTTTTTCCCGGGGGATTTTTAATTTACGCGGGAAAAAAAAGTAACAGTTTAATTGTTTGCGGTTTTTGTTTTTTTGGGGGTTAAGAAAAGTTTTTTGGGAACGGGTTCCCCGAAAAGAACAAAATAATTTTTTTCCCCGAAAAACCCCAATTTTAAATTTTTTCAAAATAAATTGTTTGGGGGGGGATTAATAATGGTTTTAAAGGGGGAAAAATTTTAATAAAAAAAATCCCCATGTTATATTTTAAATTTTTAATGAGATTAAAACAATAAATATTGGGGGGGAAAACAAATAATTGAAAAAAGGTTTCCCTTTTTCCTTAAAAGGCTTTTGGGGCACTTTTTTTTTCATTTAAAACCTTTTTTATTTTAATTTTGTTATTTGGTGGGTTTAGTAAAAATTCCGGGGGGGAATTTAATTTTCCAATTAGGGAAAACCCCCGATTTTATAATTATTTTCTTGGAAAAATTGATTGATAAAAAATTTTTTTAAAAAGAATTGATTTAAAGGAAAAATACAAAAATGTACATGTATATGGTTTAAGAATAAACAAAAATATTATATAAATTGGAAAGATTAAACCAAATGATTACTGAAAAATTTTTCCAGTTTTAAGTTTTTTGACTTATAATTTGTCGAAAATTAAATTTTTTCAATTTTGGGGAAATTCTAAAATAGTTTTAGTTAACC